TAACAGCCCCAGCCCTACCCCCACGTTTTGTTGCCATTCAGGCTTGACCTGTAAAATTGTTCCACTCCTTAAAACCCTAAGCCACCAGTCCTGATGAGAATCATTATAGTCCCTTTTCCTTTCTTTAGTGATCAGGTTCAGCCAATAAGCCTGTATCAAGATAAGAGATGAAAGTATGTGGAAATATCCTTGCTGAATTTGAGAGGGCTCTGTGGTTCATCTGAATCTTAGTTGGTCCCCAATCCCATTCCACTAACATTGGTTAGAGTCTCATCTAGCGTAGTTCAGTACTTCAATTTTGCCTCTATAAGAGCAGTAGAAAAAAAACAGAGGTGAGGAAGTAGCTCTGAAAGTTAACAAGAGATCCAGGTTAGAAACTGAAATGCTCCTTCTGATCTGTGTGACCATGGTCAAGCCCCTCTCAAGCTTCATTTTCTCATCTTGAAAGTGGGAATAACACCACTGCCTACCTAATAGGATTGTGGATTAAATACATTCTTACATTGAAGATCCTGACTCAGAAATGTTTCCTTATTAGCTTGTAATTCTTTAAATAGGGATTGTGATGAGTTCATTTGAAATGATGCAGTAAAAGCTGCTACAGCTCTGCTTCCCCCTGTTTTGCTCTGTGATACGCTGTGGGGAAACCCTCACATAGGCTGCGGCCCTCGCAGCTTGCTTCTGCTCTGTGTCTGAGAAAGTCCTCCCTTCCCACAAAACGGACTGAGGCCAATGTTCCAGAACCTAGGACAGCTCCGCTCCTTCCAGACCGCTGGCTGCCCGAGGGAGGAGAAAGGACTGGGATTTGCTCAGAAAGGCTGCCTTAGTGTGGAGATTTAGGAATCCGAGGGCTGCAGTCTCATTCCCAGCCTACATCCCACTTGCATGCATCCTCAGATTCTTCAACACAATCAGCCTCCTGGAAAATTCTGAAGAACCTCTCCTCGGAAACTCATTAACTCCACCCATAAGGTTTAAAGAATCTTCGGGCCCTTTTCTTCTCTCCTATGAACTCCAAAGGTGTATTTATTTATCTTTTGAGCCCAAGAAGAACAGAAATACACCTACATCTTTGTGTATCTGCTGATACTTAATCTGTTGGACTTCAGTACAAGGATTAAACATACTTCATTAACCTCAAATGAAAGTAATAATGTCTGAGCACGAATAAGGGTTTTACAAGACAAAGAAATTCAGGTATGAATTAAAAGGAAAAAAATAACGTTATTGCCTGCAGGTGATGTTAAACGCTATTTTCTAATCAGAAGAAGCAGGTGGTTCAGTTTATGAGATAATTCAGCTTTTCACTCTCCGGTACAGAACACAGCACACATATGCAGCCTTCTGAACAGGCAAAGAAGAGATTAAGTCCTATTTTTACTTTATGATACTGAGTCACATAATTCAATGCAAATCACATGGATGCCAAAGTAAGAACAATACCAGGTATTTAAATACCTCCTTTCCTTTGAGGAGTGCTAAAGACTTTGTGGTTGCGTGGAAGCCCTTCAGAACAACTCCAGGAGAAGAGGTACAAGGCACTAAGTGAGCATTTAAGGCTGAGTGGTTCGCATCCAGTTCCCCCTTGTTGTTCCTCAGCTTCTTGCATTTAGTAGTAACCTCCTGATAGCTGCCATTTTGGGGAACATATTGTTACTGAGGAAAAGGCTTTTCTATAAGAAATGTTATTGGGTAATTTAATAATGGGGATGAGAGAAGAAAGGAGAAATAGGGAAAAGAAAGGAGAAAGGAATAATAGAGGAGGAGACAAGACAGATGTCTGAGCCTCCCTGAGCTTGAAAATTTTTTTCCATGCATTTTCCTACAAAAAAAAAAAAAAAAAGAACTTAAGGGCCCTCCCTGGTGGCATAGCGGGTTAAAGCACAGCACTGAGAAGCTAAAACCGTATTTCAGCATGAGTTCAGTCCTCGCCCCGGAGGTGACCACATGGTGTGGCAGACCTCTCCTGACCCGCCTGCTGCTCCCCTCAGCAGTGTTCTTCATCAGTCAGCCTCTTCTGCCCCCCTCTCTCTGATGGATCCACTCACCACCCCTGCACCTCTGGCCTGTACCCAGTTCTGTATGCATAAATATATCTTTTTTTTAAATGGACTTAATGGCCACCCCTCACTGGACAGAAACTTGAATGGGGTCCTTTGGGCCCTCTTTAAATATCCCATATGGACAAGGACAATTGCAGTCCCACTGTTTGAACTAGCTTGAAGGAACAGCAGACAAGAACATCACCTAGGACTCCAGAGGCAGACAAGGTGTCCCCAGATAGAAGAAGGGTTTGTGGTTTTTTCCTAACAGTGTCCACCCCTTCTGTGAGTCTCCACACTGTAGGGGAGTGTTGCCAAATTACAGTTTGGTTTAACTTCTTCTGTCCAGCAGAGGTCACTGTGGATACTGGCAGTGGATACTCCTGGAGACTGGACCACACAGGGCTGGGCTGCATGGTGGCTTCACTGAATGCTCACTGGTCTTTCTGAGATTCCAGTGGCCTTAGTATAGCTTCTTAGGGTACTGGGATCTGTGATGTGGATTATCTCAAAACCACACTGCACCTCTGCTGTAAAAGTGCTGTTAAGTTAAGGTACTTGCTGGGAGTGGGCAGGTCTTGGAGGGCTGTTCTCACTCTCTTAAGGGCGCTTTCTCCACCAGTTTCTCTGTGTCAAACTTGTGTCCTCCCTGTGAGTATACCTGCTGTGCTGTCACTGAGTAACAACCCAAACTCATCGCCCTTCTAGACATGGAAGCCAACGTGATTAAAGTTGCCTTGACACCCAATCTTGCACCCACACCATAAGGGATTCCACGGGTGAGATTTGGGAGTCCCAGTTGGCAGCCCCTAGTGGTAGGGGTATGTGTCCAGAATTCAGGTCCTGATGGCAGCCCATTACAGCAGGATAAGATTTCTTCTTACCCACTGGTAAGGGTGGTAGGGCCAGAAGAACCCACCCTTACAGTGCTTGTAAGGTCCCACTTTCTGGGCCACACCCAGACATGCAGGCGAAGCCCAAGGCACACTGAAGCTGCACCCACCGTGTCAGCATCCACTGGAACCCTAGTCATTAGTGTGATTCCAGAGCAGAAGGAGTGACCTCTCTGTGTCCTCCCCCCAAATTCCAGGCCTGCAGTAAGGGTGTTTCTACACACACACACAGACACCTAGAGGCACAAGCTCAGTATGGCACACACATGAACACTGGTGCACACACTGGCACATTTACCCAGTCATGCACATTCACACCACTGCCTGAGCACTCAGTCACACTGTGACACTTACACACTGGAACCCAGCAACCAAATTTGACTAACACGGTTTATAGTCAGGGGCAGAGTGGGGTGGGAGAGGGGTATTCAGTGTCCAGTCAGGCTGTTCCTAGGGACCCTGTGCCCCTGATAACCTGCACCCAGCATTGTGGAGCCTCCATATCCCCCTCCCCCCAGCGCGCCCACCCTCCAGCCCCCCGCTGTAGGCGTCCTTTTGGTCACAAGTCTTGACCGCCCCCAGAAGGGACCCTGGTTACCATAGCACACACGGCATCCTGGGGGGCAGGCTGGCAGGGTGGGGGTTGCAGGGAAGAATATTGCGGGCACAGTGCCCTATCCGGGTGCAACCGCCTCCTCCCTCGGGATTTTCCATCCCAGCTCGCGCGGGCCCGCGAGGAGTGTAGCGAGCGCGCTTTGTCTCCCGCCCGGCTCCTGGCACGTTTCCGCTGAAGCTCCTCGCGCCGCGCCCGAAGCCTCCCCCACCCCCTTCCCCGGCCGCGCCCCCCCCCCCCCCCCCCCCCCCCAGCCCGTGGCGCAGGCCCACCAGTGCCGAGACCGCCGCTTTGTCCTCTCGCGGACGCGTGGCCGAGCGGGAAAGCCCCCGCACCCCCGAGCGGCCACCGCCGCGTGCTCCAGACGCAGGACTTGCGGCTAGATCTGGGGCGCGCCCCACGCCAAGCCGCGCAGCCCGGAGGGTGTATGGGCTTCGAGGGCATCGGCTTGGAGCTCCAGGGTGCTTGAGAAGGACTCGCCCAGTCCCACTCTGCACGTACTTTGGGCTTGGTTTCACGCTGCGCTACAGGAGCCCCATGTCCCTAGGGTGGGACATGGAGGGTCATCTCGACTTAGAGCTCCTGGCCTGGATCCAGATAAAGAGGGCCTGGGAGATAGGCCCGGGAAGGGAGAGTAGGGGAGGAGTGCCTCAATCCCTCTTACTTTCCCCCATTGCACGCCCCACCCTCGGGCTACTCCAATCTTAGGTGCCGGGCTGAACGCAAACACCGAGGACCCTGAAAATCCATCAGTGCTTTCCTGTATCAGCGATTCCAAGCAGGGTGGGGAGGGGGCTCCCGCCTTTGCCCCTCATGTTCTAGGCTCCCCTCCTCTGCACCCCCCAGTTACCTAGGCGGGGCCAAGTGGGAGGGGGAAGAATCTCCTGTCTCCATCGACATCCAGTTCCTGATCATAAAACCTTAGGCTTCAGGAGAGTGATGGGCACGGACATCCCACAGATCCCTTCCTCAATCACCCCAGGAGGGTCTGAGAGGGGAGGAGTCCACTGGTCTCATTGATCACATCCAGACCCCTTTGTAACCTCCATCAGCTAAGGTATTGTGAGGAAGGGCCCCCCTGCCGCCCCCCCCCATTGATCCTACAGCACTCCCACCCCTCCTTTATAATGCAAGCGAGCAGCCTCGACTTCGGGCACAAGGGGAGGGAGGCTCCCAGTTTTCGTGGCTTTCTCAGGAGAAATGGGAGGGGGATCCTCCAGCTCTCGACCCTCACACTCAAGAGCCCCTTTATGGCATTAAGCCCACACTAACCCAAGCTGCTCGGATCTCAGGCACCGAGCCACAGGCAGGGCCGTGAGGAGTCAGTCAGCAGCTCTTTGGGACAGATGGTCTTGAGTGTGTTGAGGACAGGTCCCATCAACTCCCCAGGCCCCCTCAAACCTCAGTTCATTTCCTCCCCAATAAAACAAAAGAGAATCCAGCAGCACTGACCTCAGAGATGCGGGAGGGCAATCAGCGCCTTGCAGCACACCCAGCTGCTCCGGGCTCTGGGCCCCGACTTCCCGGCGGTGAGTGTCGCCGCGGGAGCGGCGACCGAGGTTCTGGCGTCCGGAGCCTCCCTCGGACTCAGCACCTGGAGCGGCGAACAGCTCCGCGCCTCATTCCGGTGACCCCGCCTCCTCCGCACCGCCGTAGCCAATGGAGATCCGGGCCACGCCCAGGAGGCCACCCATTGGGGGCGCCGTCCCCACTCCCTTCGGCTCCGCCCTGGGTTTCTTCCAGCTCTCGGTCAAAACCACATCCCCCAGAGACCGCCGCAGTGTTTGCACAGCCTTCTGGAACTTGTAGTTCAGTAAGCACTCGTGGTGGGCTCAAGCCTCGGGCCGCTGACCCGAGATGGACTGCATTTCACAGGGTGCGTTGACGAAACGGAGGCGGTGAGCTGGGCGGGAGGACGGTTTCCATGGCGAAGGCTGCTGTTGGCGATGATTGACAGAGCTAGGGGGCAGGCCGCGGGACCCTGGAAGGACCGTGCGTGACTTGGGACAGCCTCTAGGCAGGCGTTCGGATCCTTTTATTCCCACTGGGCCCCACCTTGGAACGCTGGGCCTCAGTTTTTAGATCTGGAAGAAGGGCAAGGAGCCGTTCCCCCGCTCACGCTCGGAGGGGCAGGTTAACAGCGTGGGAGAGCCCCTAGCTTTCCCAGCAAAGGTGAAGAGGACAGAGGAGACTTTCCCACCGCTTTTGGAACTTTATCCCATTATTCTCGTCTCGATTTTGTCACAAAAGAGCGTTTTACTTTTTTGTCATATCCCTTGGGCCATCAGGATCCTCCCAAGCTTGTCTTCCCACCCTCCGGGCATCCCGCAGCACCTCCCCCGGCGTAGCTAGAGGGCGCTTCTACTTCAAACCCTTCTCTGGTTTCGCGGTGCCTCCGGAATTAAACCCACTTTAAGGTCGCTGGAAAGCCCCTTCAAGATAAGCATGGGCTCCCCCTTCTTGCAGCACCGAACTTCTTTTGAAGCTGGGAAGCCGTAGGCATTCATTTCTCTCACATTTCCCTCCACCCTGCCCTTGGCTAATCCCTTATACTCTTCAAGTCCACGAAACCTTCCTGGATGCCTGGCTCCATATTAGGTACCCCACCTTGTGCTGGAACTGCTTTCTCTATTTCCCCTACCCGCACGGTTAAGTATCTGTCTCCCACCTTAGATTATAAGACCCTATTTTATTCATTTATACAGCCTAGTGCCTACACTGGCTGGCACTTAGTAGGAACTCAGTAGATATTTGTTAATTTGCAAATGAATTGAAGCTTGATTGACTTCCCCCCCCCCCCAACTTCAGAATCTTGATTTTGTAAGATTGGGCATTGTTTACCATTGTTAGAAGTAATCAACTAGAGGAATACCACCCCTCTGAAGAAATTGTGTCAGTTTACAGTGAGTTGGAAATTTGCCTGGATGTTTTGAGGTCCCTTGCGCTTCTGATGCTATGGATTATAGATTCATGCCTATTGTTCCTTGGGAGTACTGTCAATTCCCCCCTAAATGTCATCAGTTCTTCATGTTCTTCTATTTCTAGCAGTTGGCCCTTTTTTCTGTGTCTAAATGCCCTCCTCCCACTCCCTTTCTGGAAAAGATCTTCCTCTGCACCTATTAGTTAAGAAGTGAACACAGTTTGACCCCCCCTCCCCTGCCGTCAGCCCTCTGCCCACTGTCATAGGGTCCTGTAGGAGGCCCACCTTGCCAGGTAGCATCTTTTCTGAACTTTCCCCACTCAGTGCCCTGGTATTAGCCAGATGGTTCAATTAATCCACACATGCTTCATATGTCATCCCATTCAGACATTTGGGGTGAATTTTAGCTAAAGAATTCTTGGGAGCATGCCTTCATGTGTGGGAATAATTAATTCGTGGCTGAAAGAGTAATCAGGGGGACTATTACCCTGAACCTAATTTAACCCAAAAAGATAGAACCTGGAAAGCAGCAATCCTATTACCCTTGAGTCAGTGACGTCCAGGTGGGGGAACACTAGCATAGGGGAATGAATGAGTGAAATGTATTGCTTTTAGGGAAGAACTAAGAGACCTTCTAAGAGTCACTAGAGAGGCTTTGATCCTGGCTGAACTATGAGGGAAGGCCATTGGAGCTGGGTGAATAGGAAACATTTAGCAAGTGCTACTCTGTTTTCAAATACTTTATTTTGGGTTATCAGAAATTGACTTGACTGGAGAAACAGTCAAGCCCTTAATGTCCTTAGATAATCTGTGATCTATTCCCTACTTTCTTTCTTCTAGTTGCATGGTTTCAGTGAGGTATATGCTCAGTCTTTTTGTTTTGTGATGTTTTAGGGGTGTTCTACAGCAGAGAACCCTAAGAGATGGAATTCTAGATGTTTAGAAGCCAGAGTTGCAAAAGATTCCAGGGAATCATTGAGTTAGCTTCTTACCTTCTTAGAGCGATAAAGGGTCTCAGTGAAGTTCTTTGGATCTTCTAGTTAAGTCACAGGAGGATTAAGCAGGCATGGGTTAGGTGCTGAGGAGGCTGGCATACCAGGCTGAGATACATAACTGTATTCTAAAAATAATGAAGGGTTTTATGGAGATGTGCATTTTGAAAAGGTATCACGTGGTCAGAAGATGAGGTGGTGTGGAGGCTGTTCCAATGATCCAACACATCTATGGAAACAGGGAAGAGGCAGTGGATCTAAGAGGTATTGGGGGGAAATATTTGGAGGATTTTATGAGCGATTTGCAGAAGACATGGAACATGGTGATGAGTAAGGATGATTCCCAAGTGTCTGTTTTGGGTAACTAAGTAAATGGGTGGTGAGGCCCTTCCCCGAGGTGTGGAATAGAAAAAAGACTAGGTTTAGGCTCCAGAGGAGCAGGTGAGTTTGTGAGTGGGGGACATCCAGGTAAGATAGGTAGGAGATGGTTGGAATCTTGTAAGAGCGACCTGATCTGGAGAGTCTTCAGTTACTGAGTTAACAACATATAGATCAAAACTGAAGCCAGCAAAGGGGATGAAATTCTTTAGGCAGGAAGGTCAAAGACAAAAGCAAAATCCTTTGGGACTTACCAACAATTAAGGGATGGGTAGAGAAAGGGGTACCCAAGGGCGAGGTGAGAAGAACAATGAGAGAAGAACACCAAAGAACAGTGTGCCACAGAAGCTCAGCAGGAAAGGCGGATGACACGATGCAGAATGCTCAGGTAAGTCAAGTCCTCAAAAAGTGAACAAATTTAGTAACTGAGAGGTCACTGGTGACCTTGGAGAGAGTATTCAGAGGGATAATGGGGGCAGAAGTCTGAGTACATAGGCAATAGTGGGACATGACCCTGGGGAGTGGATTGATTTTGAAAAAGAGGAGGGAGGAAATCAGAAAGGATGTAGTGATCCAAGACAATTTTTGTTTCAAGTTGGGAGTGATTGGAACATTTTAAAAATGCCAGTAGGACAGTTGATACAGGAAAGAGAGGGACTGAAAGATGGAGTTAGCAAAAGGGTAAGAGCTGGAGGGGTTTGGACTGAGTCTTGGGGGGGGGTAGATCAGTCAGTAAAGCAGGTAAAGTGGTTGGGAGACAGGCTCTGGGAGTTGAGGGAGTTCAGTCCCCGTACTCATCATTCTTGGGAGCTAGGAGGCAAGGATATCTGCTCATGTGAGGAAACAGGGCAGGTAGAAGGCTTGGGGAAAGAGCGAACGATTCAGGATGGCTGCTGTGGGAGAGCTGATGGCAGCACACACGCCTGGAAGGCAGTGGTGAGGCCTGCTGAGGCTGGAGTTTGTGGGGACGCTAGGCTGGGAACTGTGGACTTCAGCATTGCATCAGCCCTCATTGAACATGGAGAAGGCTGCTGGTGAGTGTGGTTGAGGGCAGCATTTTACTGGAGAAGGGAGAAAACATGGGAACTGGAAATGCTGACAAAAGAGACGTGGTGGTGAAGCCAGGGTGGCGTGGATGGTTGGTCTGGTTCTTGGTGGACGAGAGGACAGTGATAGTTGGGTGGACACAGGAAGGGCAGGCAGTGCTGATCAGGGGTGGAGAAGCTCTGGTCAGGGACAGAGACAGGGAGGCTGAATTGGAATAGAGGTCATAGGATTGAAAGACAAATTTGTTGGATGGGCTGTTGGCAAGTCTCCCAGAAAGATGCCCACTTCGAGGGACAGAGGAATGCTGGTAGGCCTTTGCCGAACCGTACAGTGGGTAGGAAGTTAGCTGGTAATGGAAAGGAAGAGAGGGACAAGGTGCAGACGCCCTGGCTTGAGTATTACTTAAATTAAGATATTGGGAGGCTAAGAATAAGCCCCCTCATGCAAGACTTAAAGAGAAGGAAGAGCACAAGCAACGAGCTTCCTTTCAGATCTTCACAGAAGAATTTGTCTCAACATCATCTCCAAATATCAGTTTTGTACCCACCTAAAAACCAGAATGTCTAGGAATAAAATTAACCAAAAAGCAATTCAGATTTCACAGTGAAGTCGTAGCAACCAAGTTCAATGGTAGTGATGCCTGCAATTTATATTTTGGTACAGTTTGTAGATTTAAGCATGTGCATATCAACTAGAAAATGTGTTTAAGAATTTTGCAAATTGCATTTCTTAGCAACGATTTGTTTTCTCAGTTTAGAACAAAAATGAGAGAACTTGTGTTGATTTTTTTTTCAAATGTAGAGCTTAGAGCTTAATTCATGTCTTTGAAATGCCAAGAATTTGAAATGCAGCCATTTTCCTTTCTGCATCCTTGAAAAGGATTACAAGGATTTTATTAGTTTTTAGATAATCTTGCTGGCACATCCAGACTTTCCACAAGGGTCTCCTGTCAGTAATGTGGTAGTGTGTGTGATGCTGCAGAAATGTGCTGTGTCAGATATTTAAGACAAATCAAATAAGCAGCCAACTTTAGGGTTTCCCAAATAGCAGCTCAGTTCATAATTATGGGGCTTGGTACAGAATATGAAATACGCATCTAAATGTTAATTGAGAAAAATAATCACCATAATTTCTTAAGAAAAAAAGGATAAAATCAGCTAATTGCTTTGAACAATCTCTCACTTAAGAAAAAAAAAACCAATGTTATTTAAAAATATTTTTGTGTGGTTG